CTCGGTGCTGTCAACAAATTGGAGTACTATATTCATCCTAAAGAGGACAAATTTAATGAATCCATAGCGTTTGAAATTGGCAATGTTCAATGTCGGAGACAATAAGTGATTTCAAAGTCTAAGGTTTATTGTGGGCGATTTAACAAAGCTATAGCTTATCATGCCCCGGAGGATTTTTACAGAATCTTTCAAAAACATCACAAACAGAGAAAATAACAACGATAATAATGCGCATGATCACTCACGGATGTCGAAATCTTAAGTGTTCCAATGCTTTATAAAGTTGCAATTTAAATAGCTCAACTGTAGGAGCACAAACTATATCTGATGGAAGAGAANTGTGGCTGCTCCAGGTCTTCAACTTTAGTGGATGTCGCCTGAGATAAAGTCAGCAGAGAACGGCAAGGGTGGTTGGGTTGATGCAGTATGTGATATGCCAAGATTAGGTCCCCCGAAGTCGGTGGTATTGAGATGAGCAGAGCCCCAATATTTGCAGTCTTTCGGAATATGTCTCGTTGTACAGACTTTTTACCAATTTCCTTGACAGCCTTTGCGGATGTTCTAGAGACTTCTTGTCACGGTTTAACCATGGATTCCATACTTGAACGGCGTACTTCGTGTGTGGCCGACCGAAAGCTAATAACAAGCGCGGGAACAGTGCTCTTTCGAACTGCCCGAAAACACGTCTGAGCGCTCCAACTTGTTTTAGAGCCATAAATGAAGCTCTGGCACAGTGCGTGGAACATCCTACGTCCTCCTGTACCATAACTCTCAAATCCCCTTCATCAGTAGCATGCGGTAGTGTTTGGTTCTCCAGAATATCGGAGAAACGAGTCTTATGGAAATAACTCTGCAATTGGAAACGTTGAACTCGATGTTGTTGTCAATTACCCATCGGTGGGCTGCGTCGATCGTTCGTTGGAGTGCTATATAATCCTTTGGATGTGGTACAGTTCTCCAGATCTTAGCGCCATCCGCGATTAGCAGTGTATTAGGACCATGAACATGTGGCAGGTCTTTTATAAATGCAAGAAAGGTACGAGGCCCCAGTACGGATCCTTGAGGAACCCCTCGGATAGCGGCGATAGACTCTGATAATGAATCACCAACACGGACTGATATGGTCCTTTGTCGGGAGATACTCCTTTGTGGTGCACGAACGCTTGTGCCGAAACCCGTGATGAGTTGCAGACAAAAGCTCACGCTTCTCCAGATATTTCACTAACAGATCTGCCCCAATAGCCTGCATGACTTTCGACAATATCGGAAGAAGTGTAACAGGGCGGTAGTTGGCGGAATCACTTCGAGATCTCCCTTTGTAAATGGGGAAATCACAATTTCCTTCCATGACTAAGGAATTACTGCCTCGTTGAACAACTTTTGGTAAAGAACAGCTAGAGGTTCAGAAATGTTGCTTCCCTGTGCCGTAGATAGTGCACTCATGCGGGTGCTTTAGTCCTTGATGAGAAAATACACATCGACATGCTTTGAGTTAAATAAGCTGATATGCACGGATCAGCATTGGAATTTAAAAAAATGTTATCAATTGAACCGCTAATGTGTTTTTAATCGTCGTCCGCTTGAGAGCCCATCAAATCTTTTTGCAACTAATCCTGGTCAGTGATCTTGAGTGGCTTCAATCAAATCTCCCGCAAAGGTGATACACATCGAAATTAACCATTACCGGTGTAATCATAAGGTAAAATCACCTCCTTTGTTGTGAACCCAGAAATAAGAGCTGATTTCAAGATACCTAGTCTTATAGTTACTCACTGGAATGCACCTAAAAGGAAGCTGGTATAGGGGAGTGAGAAGAGAAGGTGGTCCAAAAATATTTATGAAACACTGACACCGCGGATGAGAAAGCTTTATTAATGTCCATTCAAGCACACGTTATTAGTATATATTGCATATTTAAAAGTACTTCGGGGATAAACATTTCACAGGAAGATCACTGCATGCAAAATCGGTTAACAACCGATTAACCTAACTTAAATTTAACCAAATGCACTTCGGAATCATTCTTGCTTTGCCTGTCACCTTTTCTCCTTTCGTGGTTGATACCGTACGTAGTAGTGTTAAGACGGAAACCAAATATAAGCTTTTATACAAAACAGGTGATATAACACATGTCTCTCTTCAGGTAAATCAAGGAATACTGCTGAACGAACACTCAGTGGATCAATTCAATCGATTACTACATGCATTTTGCTCTATTATGCGTCATATTTACTTTCCAGGTAGATCTCCAAGGATGTATAATACTCCAAAATTCATAAAGAAAATGAAGCAACTATGAAAAATCGCATTAGGAAGCATCGCCTCAGCTTTGTACATCAAGGCTGAAAACCTTCAGAATGACGGCAAGTAGCTGCCACCTGATTGATTCCAATCACAACGTCTATGCACGGCTTGATTTAACTATCCATCAACTTCTCTAATGAAGTTGGGAATGCTTTTATAAAATGACGAATCTCGATTTGCTTCCTAATGAGCTCAGGAACAATTTTCTGAGGATATCAGGTTTTATTCGACATTCACTTCTCATTTGATGTAAAATCTGATGAGTGGTATCTATTCACTTGATCCACATTTGACGCTGCAAAACTACAACATATAAAACAAATATATCGTACCCTTTCACACAAAAATGTTTGAGTTTCCTGGTGTTGCTGTCATCTACATTTTAGTGGATGAGTAGGTTAAGGGAGATGTCATTTAGAGCTCTAACCGTGCGCTTGCGACATGAACATAAAATTCAAAAATTCACATTCTGTCAATATTTTACTGTTTTACGTTTACGTTTTGCCAACTAAAAGATGGATGCGTTCCGAGGAAGCTTATCGTTTTGTTAACCAGTTTGTGTTTCAAAACCTATCAATCTGGAACAGACCATATCTTTATCTTTTAATAGTTGTAACTTTGTGATATATATCGTTCAATTTGGAATTGAGCCCCATATGGCTACAGGTTGCTGACAACAAATTGCATCCATTTGGTTAAATAGTGTAAGCAAGTAAGCTTTTGTCTGTTGTATTTAAATATGGTTGTGACTTGCTGGTCATGTGATAATTTTATCCAACATGGATCGATAGCACCCCCAGGTCAAATCACAGATCTACTTGTCAGGTAAGTGCTGATTCTTTAGTGGCATGTTGAAGCCATATGCTACGTTAGATACGCTCAGTGTTCAATTTTGGAACGTTCTTCCCCATCTGATGAATATACGTTTCTGTTATAAACGAGTGATTTTATGTGTGAGGTGAGTGCGGAACTCACGCAGCAAGTATGAAGGCCCGCCGGGACGCTCTGAACTAATAGCAATAGACACGCGTTACCACCGACACTCGATCACACGTTCCACTGCCAGACACGCTCACACAGTGAGGACACGGTTGTCGAGCACGAACGTATATTGACGCAAGGAACGAACGGCAAAATGCAATGTACAAACTTTATCTAGGGCGGGGGAGTACACAAGGTTCGTATCGATTATCGGTTCTCAAGTATTTCATGGCTCTTATGATTCTTCGTTGTTAGTGTTCACCGACAGGGAACGTAAGACAATTATTAGTACTGAACACGTCCGACCATTTTAGTTTCAGTGCCATTACATATGCTAAATTTGAAAAACGCAGTTCACGGAAATTGAGACACGCAGGATCGCAATAAAATATAAGACGCATTTTAACGAAATGATATGAATGTCTTCCGGGACATAAGTCGTGCAGTATTGTAATATGATCTTTTCTTTTGAACTAGATCTCGGGAAAGGCCTGCTTCAATTTTTTTTAGAAAGTATTAATGAATCCGTTTTTTGTCTTGACGTCAGAGTGGTATTGAATTACAATTAGCTATGCTATTGGTACGTAGGGTAAGCGTAGCACTGGATACTGCAATATATCAGTTTCATTTTCAGTTTGTACAACCATTAACCATGCACTTTCGTGCGCCGGTTTTGATTGCTGTTTTTTGGCTGCCCATTTGGATGAAGAATAGGAGAAGACAGGAAGGTTGGAAATAGAGTCCAACAGAAAATGGAGAATTGCGGTGGTCTGAGGTTGCAAACAAATTTAGAAGATGCACGAACGCCACTGTTTACGACGCTCATCCACCACAATTTGCCCGCTTTTATCTTGTAGGTATCACTCAGCTTCACGCAATTCAATTGAAAGGGAATAGCAAGAGACAGAAGCAGTGGTTCGGTCAAAATCTGATAAATATTAAAGCATTTTAGTGCCCTTTGTTCATTTCATATGAATACAGCAGAATGGGAAGATTTCGAGGAAAATTGTGATAGTGCCAGTGGTGAAATAGTTGTATTTAACAGAGACAGAGCGAACCGCTGCTTAGTAATCGTTCTGGTCTTACTAGAAAGAATGTACTTCGTGCACTGATCCCCAGGTGTTTGCCCACAGCTTAAACTTCCCGCTGCGGTGACCTTCAACGTGCCTGACCGAAACGACTTGTGAAAAGTCTGGATGGGCGTAGGCATATGTGGTGTCGCAGTGTCAGTGTGCCCATTTGTATGTCTGTGCAACCAACGCGTGCAGCCGAACGAAGCGAATACACTTAAGGTGGATGTGCATTGCTCCTATTTGTGCGGTTGGTTGTGAAAAAGTGGTGAGGGTTTTGCGGCCCTTGTGTGCGTGCGTGCTTTCTTATGTGTACAGCCTAGGCAAACCCACTCACAAATCTAGCCAACCCACGTGCAGTTTGATTGGCTTAAATGATTGGTGCCTGTGGATTGGTGTGTAATCAATAAGAGCTGGCTTACACAAAAGTTTAACGCAGCCACTAACCCCATAACCGGATTTCATCAATTCTACCGTGAGCGTGCATCACACACCTGTACATTCAAAGGGACGGTGCTCGAGTTTTGTGCCCATCGATTAGGGAGACTATATTACACCAGTCACACCACAGCATCCAGCCCAATTTATTCTTTCTCATTGACCGATTTAGCTAACACTCAGAGAGTAGCCGAAATACGCCAAACCATGTCTGGAATGTGTGCTAAATGTGCTCAACCATTCACGGCAGGAAGTATTCTGACCGCGTTGGACAAAAAGTGGCATCCGGACTGCTTCCTGTGCACCATTTGCAAGGGTCGATTGGCAAACAAGTCGTTCCATGTGAAAGACGATAGTCCCTACTGTACGGACTGTTGGAAAGAACATTTTCAACCCCGATGTGCTGTAAGTGCTATTACAAACTGCTTTCTCCTTGAAAC